CGCGCGGAGCCACAGGTCCGCTACGACACGCGTCCGCGGATAGAGAAAATCAGCGCCATGGTGAGGGATGGGAGGGAGGGGTAGGACGTCAGATATGACGCGAGCGCACATAGCTTGCCCCCCCCCCCCCCCCCACCTGGCCCAGGAACTCGAGTTTCAAAACTGCCCCGACGGCATGCGCCCATCCCCCCGCGAACACGGGGGGGGATTATTATGCCATCCGGAGTAGGGGGTCGGGTCGGGCGGCAGGCGTCAGGGGCCACGTCAGGGTGGGATAGGCCTGGGGGGGGGAGAGGAACTGTTTCGGGTGTCGTCGGTTCTCTCGGCGGTTTTCCAGGCTCGGGATGCCTTCCAGCAGCGGCATCTCGTCGAGGGCGTTCCTGGGGTGCCTGGATCGTCCCGGATCGCTGCCGTGGAACCGAATTATAGCCCAAAAGTTAGGGGGGCAACGTTACGGTGGGATAGGCTCAGAAGGGGGATACATCGATCGCCAATCGTCCAGTCATCGCCGACTCGGGCCCGATAGCCCATCCCGTCCAGAATCTTGCGGATTTGCTGTCGGGGGCCTATCGCCGATCTGTCGGCGATGTATTGCCGATTCCAGTTTGATGTTCCCCTTCCTGAGCCAGTCCCCCCCCCTAGCGTTCCCCCTCAAAGGGGGGGAATCGCGACCCTTATTCGGACCAAGGGACGGGCCGACAAAGAAAGCGGGCTAGGCAAAGGGCAAGAGAGCGAGGAACCGAGGAGAGAGAGAGAGGGAGGGGGAGAGGGAGGGAGGACGACAGGAAAGGACAGGTTGAGAATTTGGAAGGATTCTGTGGTGGCGGGGGTGGCTCCTCTGCGCCACCCGCCGGGACATGTGGCAGAACGTTCCCCATGGCGCCCTGTTGGGGTCACTTCTCCACCAGCCAGCCTGGCTCAGTCGCAAGAGGTTGGGCGATGGCTCCAACCCCCACAGAGACCAGCCTTGCAAGATGCGTTCCCGTTGCGGTGTGGGCATGGGTCACGAAATCTGCTGCATGCGGCGCTTTCCTCGATGCATGCTCGCCTCCAGCGCCGGGAGGCGCCAAGAAGATCAGCTACGCCAGCTAATTCGTGAACCTCCCTCTGACTATCCCACCCTTTTGTCCGACCCGACAGGGGCTTTGGGGCGCCGAGGGAGTAATGCCACAGAACCTCTCCTACCTCGACTTTTGATTTTTGTAGCAGCCTTGGCCTGGCAGGCAGCAAAGCGCACGGACCCAGTTCAACGAGAGAGCGTGATCCACCGCCGCTTTACTATGGAAAATTGCCAACCTTTTCCTCCGGAACCCGGGGGTCGCCCCCCCCCCCTCCGAAAATCCCCCCCCTTCCCCTGCTGGACCCCCCCCCCTCCCCCCCGTGTGGACCCCCCCCCCCTCCCCGGCCAAAACCCCCACCTCCCCTAACCCTCTCCGCCCCCCCCCCCTCCCCCTCGGAAAACCGGGGGGGGTCACTACCGGTTCGAACCCCCCCCCCCTCTCCGCATCCGGAAAACCGGGGGGGGTCACTACCGGTTCGAACCCCCCCCCCCCTCGAAAACCGGAGGGGGGTCACAACCGGTTCGACCCCCCCCCACGCACCGCCAGCAAACGACTCCCGGTCCCTACCACCGTCCGCATCACATCCCCCACTGTTGTTCCCAGCGCCACTGTCCTCACCACCACTGTTCCCGCTGGTTCCACCACCGTCCCTACTGTCCCCACCAGTGCCCCCACCACTGTCGCACTGTCCCCACTGTCCCCACCACTGTTCCCACCACGGTTCCACTCTCCCCACTGTCTCCACGGCCCCAACCACTGCCCGACTATCCCCACTGTCCCCACTGTCCCACTGACTCCTCCGCTGTCCCATTGAGCTGTCCCACTGTTCCCACCACTGTCCCCACTGTCCCCACCACTGTCCCCACTGTACCTCTGTCCCATTGTCCCACCGCAGTCCTCGCCACCGCCTTCACCACTGTCCCCACCACCATTGTACCCTCCACTGTCCCACTGTTTCCAACCTCATTCCCATTGTCCCCACACCACTGTCCCCACCACCACCGTCCCCACCACTGTCCACTGTCCCCCCTGTTCCCACCATTGTGCCCACCACTGTCCCCACCACTACCGTCCCCACCACTGTCTCACTGTCCCACTGTCCCCACCACTGTCCCGCTGTCCCTTCACCACTGTCCCCACCAACACCGTCCCCACCACTGTCCGCACCCCCACTCGGTTTTCGAGGGGGGGGGGGGTTCGAACCGGTAGTGACCCCCCCCGGTTTTCGAGGGGGGGGGAGGGGTTCGAACCGGTAGTGACCCCCCCCCCCTTTCATGATGAACTGGGGTGGGGGGTGGGGGAGGGGTTCGAACCGGTAGTGACCCCCCCGGTTTTCCAGAGGGGGGGGGGAGGGGTTCGAACCGGTAGTGACCCCCCCCGGTTTTCCGCCAGCAGCGGTAGAACACGCTCTTTCAGTTCAACACACGAGCGCATGTTGTGCTTGAAGCGTCGGGGGGGCCGTAATCGCTGCTTCGCAACAAGGAGGGCCTGACACACACCAGCCACCGCAAGCGCGGTGGCGGATTAATGAGACGAAGCGGGCTGAGGTGAGGGGGTGCGGGGAGGCCGTCCTCCCATTTCGAAGAGGAACAGTAGTAAACAGTAAGACGAAGGAGCGGGAGGTTGGGGCAAAGGCAGGGGCCATGACAGTTTTTCTCGCACTCCTCCCGTCGTCCCCCCACATTTTTCTAGCGTTCTTTCGACGCCTGGACATCCTCGTGCGTATGCGAAGTGCTTGGCCTTTATAACCTGAGTGTTAAACGTCATACCGCAGACCTTTTGCAATGTATTCCGTCGCCAGAGCACAAACGAGGAGACGTATCATATCCAAGCCCGACTGTTAATTCTTCATTGCTCCTCCTCCTCAGGCTCAACCTCCTCATCCTCCTCCCCGGCCTCCCCTTCTCCTCTTCTATAATTCCTCCTCCTGCCCATCCTCCTGCTCCCTTTCCTCCTCATCCACCCCGTCATCTACTGCCCATTCTCCCCAAACATCCTACGTCGCGATTTTTGCGACGTGGCTCCCCAGGGGTCTGGGCCTCTCCCCCGGGACCGGTTTTAAAGGTCCTGGGGCCTGGTGAGGCCCCCTAGAGGCAGAAAATTACCAAACATTGTCCATCGTGTTTTTCCCAACCCTCCTATGGTTGGGTACTCGTTTTGAATAGAGCAGTGTGATCGCCCCGTCCTTCTCCTCCTCGCCCCTCCTCCCCTCCTCCTCTCCTGTTTCCTGTGTTCCCCTCTCCTCTTCTCTCGTGCCGTCGGGCTGCGATCTGCGCAACTGTCGCCACTTTCGTGGGCTCCTGGGAGGCCCAGCGGAGGTGGGTCCCACGCGGATTACCTCGAGACCTCACGGTGCCCTGGGCTGCGATCTGCGCAATCGTCGCCACTTTCGTAGGCTCCTGGGCGTGGGTCCCACGCGGATCACCTCGGGACCTCGCCGCCCCCTGGGGGCTGCGATCTGGGCAATTGTCGCCATTTTCGTGAGCTCCTGGGAGGCCCAGCGGAGGTGGGTCCCACGCGGATCACCTCGACACCTCGCGGTGCCCTGGGGGCTGCGATCTGCGCAATCGTCGCCACTTTCGTGGGCTCCTGGGAGGCCCAGCGGAGGTGGGTCCCACGCGGATCACCTCGAGACCTCGCGGTGCCCTGGGAGCTGCGATCTGCGCAACTGTCGCCACTTTCGTGGGCTCCTGGGAGGCCCAGCGGAGGTGGGTCCCACGCGGCTCACCTCGAGACCTCGCGGTGCCCTGGGTGCTGCGATCTGCGCAATTGTCGCCACTTTCGTGGGCTCCTGGGATGCCCAGCGGAGGTGGGTCCCACGCGGACCACTTCGGGACCTCGCCCCCCCCCTGGGGGGCTTGCGATCTGCGCAACTGTCGCCACTTTCGTGGGCTCCTGGTAGGCCCAGCGGAGGTGGGTCCCACGCAGATCTCCTCGTGACCTCGCGGTGCCTTGGGGGCTGCGATCTGCGCAATCGTCGCCACTTTCGTGGTCTCCTGGGAGGCCCAGCGGAGGTGGGTCCCACGCTGCTCACCTCGAGACCTCGCGGTGCCCTTGGGTCTGCGATCTGCGCAATTGTCGCCACTTTCGTGGGCTCCTGGTAGGCCTAGCGGAGGTGGGCCCCACGCGGATCACCTCGGGACCTCGCCGTACCTTGGGTGCTGCGATCTGCGCAATTGTCGCCACTTTCGTGGGGCTTCTGGGAGGCCCAGCGGAGGTGGGTCCCACGCGGACCACTTCGGGACCTCGCCCCCCCCCCCCCCCCTGGGGGGCTTGCGATCTGCGCAATTGTCGCCACTTTCGTGAACTCCTGGGAGGCCCAGCGGAGGTGGGTCCCTCGCGGATCACCCTGGGACCTCGCCGCCCCCTGGGGGGCTTGCGATCTGCGCAGCTGACGCCATTTTCGCGGGCTCCTGGGAGGCCCAGCGGAGGTGGGTCCTTCGCGAATCACCTCGGGACCTCGCCGCCCCCTGGGGGGCTTGCGATCTGCGCAACTGTTGCCGCTTTCGTGGGCTCCTGGGAGGCCCAGCGGAGGTGGGTCCCACGTGGATCACCTCGGGACCTCGCCGTACCCTGGAGGGCTTGCGATCTGCGCAATTGTCGCCACTTTCGTGGGCTCCTGGGATGCCCAGCGGAGGTACGTCCCACGTGGATCATTCGGAGATACGTCATACGCGTTTCTTTCAACGCCCCTGTGTTTCCATTTAGTATAGTTGCCGTTTCTCTTCTTGCTGCGCTCTTCTGAAAGCATTGTTGGGTGCTGTTCTTGCGCACTGCGGGTCCTTCATAATGCCAGTCAGCATTGAGTGGTTCTGAGTATCATCGCCACAAGTATAGAAATGGTTGGGTACGTCACATGGTAATTTTTCACAATGCCAGGATGTCAGGGTCCTCCTCCTACTTCGTCAGCCCTCTCCTCCCCCGTTCTCCCCACGCCAGGTGGACGACCTGCTCCAGCGAATGATGTTAACGTGGAGAGGCCCCTCCTGTCAGCTCGGAGGAGGAGGAGGAGGACGAGGAGGGGGACCAGGAGGAGCAGGAATACGAGCGAGGATGATCATTCGGGGGAAGAGGGAGGAGGGAGCAGGAGGAGAAGGAGGAAGAGGAAGAAGAGGAGGAGGAGGAGGAGGAGGAGGAGGAGGAGGAGGAGGAGGAGGAGGAGGAGGAGGAGGAGGAGGAGGAGGAGGAGGAGGAGGGGGACAAGGCGGAGGGGGAGGAGGATCTTGCAGAATGGTTTCCAAGGCGTTCGAATGCCTGTCGATGAATGCGGAACGCTTTCGGGATGTTTTCTTATTGCGAAGGCCTTACGTCCGTTGCCGCCGACCCTGAGAGCGACGAAGCTGACACCGAGGGGGGCAGGGTGGAGGAGGTGGATGAGAGAGGAGGAGGGGGGAGAATGATGTGGAGGAGA